TACTTGTTAAGCACCATTCTGTTAGTATCCTTTCTAAAATATGGTGCCTGTAACTGAATATGCTGTAATACAATTTGATATGATATAGACGTTGTCTGCCTAAGATAGAACAAAGTGATACTATCACCTTTCATGTTATGGACACTATCCATTCATTAGTGCTATGAGAAATGAAAGAGTTAAGTTTCCACATAAGTAGATGAGAAATCAGTGCAGACAGGCTGACTTCTCCGTCAGGGGGTGTGGGGTGATAACACAATTCTAGGCACATAGTGTATGTTAAGGATGGGGCATATAAGGAAGATTGTAACCGAGAAGGATTAGGGCCAATCTTGATCCTGAAGGGAGGAGTTAGGCAATCACTAACTGTAAAACTTGCTCTGGCTTCTTTTATGCGTGCAACTCTACCCTTCCAAGGAGGTGTGCCTGCTTCTTGTGAGAATCAAAAGGACTCATTTAAAGTCTTTGAGGGACATCAGTCTTCGGAACTGAGTCTGGGTTCATCTATATAACAAGTGCCAAGATAATTTTTGGTGGTTTTCTCATGCCATTAACTAGTATTCACCTAAAACACCTGAACCTTTCTTCACACAAACTGATGACTTGACATGGCTCCTCCATCTTGTACTTGTCACTCATATATATGTGTGTGTGTGTGTGTGTGTGTGTGTGTGTGTGTGTGTGTGTGTGTGTGTGTGTGTGTGTGTGTGTGTGTGTGTGTGTGTGTGTGTGTGTATATATATATATATATCTCCAAATGGTTTTTGATTTTGTTTTTAATATGAATTGAATGATGAGTTCCTTTCCCATTAACATCAGTCTCTGTATCATCCCTTTTTTCTTTTTCATCAGAATTTTCCTTGAGATCATCCTGTAATTGTCTTGTACCAACTTCTTCGAACCCTGTAGAATTTTAGTTCATGGGGGCTAGTCTTTCTCTGAAACAGCTGAAATCTATTCTCAACAAAATATGGGGTGTGTGTGTCATACTGGCTTTCTTTCTCTACTCTTGCAAATTCTAAGATGAATCAGTCACTTCCTCCCCAGCTACATAAATGTTAATAGCTATTATTATTTATTCATGACTCCATTTATGTGTTTGCTTGTTTATCTGTCTGTGACTTAATTACTAACTACATTATCACCTTGAGAAAGGGGCTGTTTTTGTTTTTGTGTTTCTTTTTACCCTCAGTGCTTAGCACAGATAAATAAATGCTTGTTGACTTGATTTTCCCTTTAATTATAGTTGTTTTCTAGAACCATAAATTTCTTCTGTTTCTGATGGTTGTAATTTGCATGTTTCCCTCAGAAATTCTTGGCAAATAATTAATTGGCTCTGGTTCTGGAGTCAGAGGACTTGGCTTCAAAACTCTCAACAACAAATTACTTAACCTCCTTGGCCTCAGTTTCCTCATATGTAAAATGAAGGGCTTGGACTAGATTGCCTCTGAGGCCCTTTACAGTTCTTGAGCTATTAAGCCTATGAACCAAACCTTTAGCTTTGAATACTTTTTGTGAAAGAATACTTGGCATCTCCTTAAGCGATACATAATTACTTGACCTTTTCAGGTTTCCCATACCAATAAAACTGGGTCCTTAAATTTCTTAAAAATACCTCCAGGGGATGAATCCTGAACATGTAATTGAGACAGGACATGTAATAATCTATTAGTAAAGAAGAATTTCTTGGTTGCCTGGAATGCAGAAAGTGAACAATGATCCCTTTTACTTGGTACAGTACTTGTAGTGTGCTTTATTATAATTGATGTTAATGTGTGACAAGGATGTAGGTGGTTTATTGAATTTCTTATTTTTTATACCTCATTGCTATTTGTAGGAACTCCCTGGTCTCCTCTTGAAATGTATAAAAGAGGGATCTTACCAAATATTTGAGAGAGGATGAATTTTTTTTTAAATAATCATCTCCACTCCTTAAAATTAAATAAACATATTTTGTAAGCCAGAAAGTGTTTCAATCACATATGAATGTGGAAGGCATCTCAGCATAGTTAGAGAATTTCTTGTTGAGCTAACTCGTACATACTACCCTCTGTAACATGGTAGGTAGATCATTGAGAGTTTCCAGAAGCACCTGGAAGCTATATGGCTTGTGACCAAAGTTATGTAATTATTCAGGTCAGAGGAGACATTCAAGCCCAGGTTTTCCTGATTCCAAGCCAAGCACTCTCCTTTATGCCATTTGACCTCTCATTTTAATCATGTCAATTTGTAAGTTACATAAAAATTGGAAATATATTTATAATTAATTGCTTTTCTTCAAGTTGGGAGACTTGTACCAAGAGGCTGCTGGTGGTTGGAATTTACCAGCCATTTGGCCTACTTGAAATTAATTTATAATCTCAATGGTATATGTATATTTAAATGCACACAAACATAGACAGACTGTGTCCTAATATACGTATGTGTGTATGTCATGCTCTTCCAATCTAAGTCATATGATAAATTTAAATCATCATCTCTTGTGAGTGATAACTGTAGTACATGACTAAAATTGCCTGATAGGGCATTCTTCTCTTGTTTACAAAAGATTCTGATGCATATTTAAGTGTCATCATCAAAGACTGATGGGAAGAGGGAAATATCCAATATCTTTCTGTAAGGGCTTCTAAGGCATTAATTTCTAACCTCTGACCAAGATAAGGCACAGCCTTTTTTTTTTTTAAAGGGAAGAGACAGGGCAAAATTGCCAAATGAGATAAACTACCAGCTGCACTTAACTTGAAGTTCTGTGAGATTGGAAAATGAAATATTTTTTCGCTCTTCCCCACTGTAATATGTTTAGGAAATATTGAACTTTATTGTACTAAACTGTGAACACTTGGATGAAATGGTCTCACTCATTTAAAAAGTACTAGAGGCTGTTTTCCTTTTTCCTCTTGGAGCCCAGCAGAGTGTTTGTATAAACTCATTAAGGAAAAGGAGGAGTGTGTCTGGCTTTACTTCTCTGTTGGGTGTTCCCAGGGGGCACACATCTTAATTGGAAATGAGCTTACCCCTTTGACTGTGTTCTGTCATTGATTGGACAATAAGCTTTTCTATGGTTGTCAAAGGCATTTATGTTCCTGTTGATAGCAGTCTGCTTAAATAAAACAACCTATTTGCGATCAAGTGTATGAAGAGTATATCAAATGCTTGAGAGGCAGACAGTGTAATACCCCATTCCCAATAAATTTACACTGTTTGAATGAATACAGGCAGTATATTGTTTTAACAGGAATTTTAAAGGGATGTTTATATATAGCTGGCTAAAAAAAAAATCTTTATATTCTGTAAATATGGAGGAACAAAATTAATCCTCTATGTCCACTGAATATTGATGGACCTCCTTCTGCAGTTACATTGTCCAAAAGTATTTTGTTTTGTTTTTGAAAGGATAGGGGGTGGGGAGAGAAATATCCCTGGGGATATAAGCATGAGTACCAATTTCTTTATATTTGCACAGGATAACTTGCTTGTTAGTGGTGGTAGTGAGTTAAGAAACACTTTGAGCATACCTCCATCCTCAGCACCTCTCTCTTAAATCCTTCCAAAAACTCCTTTTAATGCTTCTGTTCATGAGTTCTCTTGAGATCTACGACTGGTACCAAGAAAATGGAGTACGTTCCTTTTCTTTTTTCCCTTTTCATATTTTTTATTGTATAAAAGTCCATCAGTACTCAGAATTTGTGTCTTGTTTTATGATGAAAACTGAAATAAAAGTGAAATATGGGCCATGTCCTAACTCTACTGTGTCCTGGAATGACCACACCTGGAGGATTGTCTTTCAATTTGTGTACCATGTTTTTGGAATAATTTTCTCTGGTTCTAATGCATTGAGAGGCAGGGGCCATGACACAGAGAGGTAATTGAAGGTCATACTCTTGCAGTCAAATAAAGGATCTGGGAATGGGAGCTGAGAATGCAAAGCTCAGAGAAGAGATGCTTCTGAGGGATATGATAGCCTTTTGTGTGCATTTTTAGGGCTGCTATACATAAAGGGGAGTAGACTTCTTATTGGCTTTAATTATAGAATTAGAAATTGAGGAAAGGAAGATTTACATTTAATGTAATGAAATAACTTCTAATAATTAGTGCTAAAGTGGAATGGGCTGTTTTGGGAAGTTATGGATTACCCATTGGCTGGAAACCTTCCATTGATGATTATTTAACCATTTCAGGCTATGTAGAAGGGATCCCAGTTCAGGTATGGCTTGGTTAGACTAGCTGACCCCAGAGAACTTTTTTCAACTTTGAGATTTCTTGATAATAATTGTCAGTGATGATAATAATAACCAGTGCCTTCAAGAGGACCCGTGATCTCATTGCTTCAAGAGTTCTTTCCAAGTGAGGCAGATCATAATCCATTCTGTGTGCCCTTAGTTCTACTAAGAATTAGTCATAGGAGGTCCATCCAGCATTCTGGAGGCTTTCATTGGCATTTTATATTTCAGAGCCATAGAACGACAACCATAAAATGTTAATATTTCAGTAACGGGCGTTTGCTTTCGTGTGATTTTCCATAGTAAAAGAGCTTTTTGGTTTTCTGAAATCAGTCCAGGCCGATCTTACTCCCCCTTTTCAACTCATCCACTATGTATAAATTGATTTAAAGTTTGTAATTATACTTGCTGTATACATGGTGTCCCAAAAGTCTTAGTGTAGTAAGACTTTTGGGACTTTCTGTATTACTTCAATTGGTCTTCACAACCATCCTGTGAAGTTCGTTGGTGCTATAAATCCCTGTTTTACGGAAGTGTAGACTCCAGGCTGTAGGAAGCTAAGTGAGACTTTGTTTCAGGTCCCAGAGCTAAACAGTGTATGAAATAGGATTCAAAAAATCAAACTGCTATGACACCTAAGCAAAACAAAAATGCATGGATGAGTTGGCACTCAATTTTTTTATTAATCCATTTAAAATCTTACTCTTTACACTTTTGTTAATATTAAAATTGTATGAGAAAGGCAAGAGAGCACTAAAAGTGTTTTCTTTTCTTTTGCAGAAACGGGCTACAGGTCAAGTACTATTTGACAAAGTATGTGAACAACTCAATTTACTGGAGAAGGACTATTTCGGGCTTTTATTTCAAGAAAACAATGATCAGAAGGTAAGAGGAATTGTTTTTATTTCATTTATCTCTTTGAAAAAGGTAGTACTTTCTCTCTGAAATAGTTTATTTTGTCCTAAGTAAACCTTCTTAGATTTTGCTTCTCATTCATTGAATTTTAAAGAAAATGTGAATCTATAAAATGGAATAGGTAATCTGGCATTTATCACCAAAGATCAGAAGGAAAGATGCAATGTGGTAGATGTAGTTATATGCAGAATGCTCCTCTTCTTTTTCACCTCTGCCTTCTGACTTTCTGGCTTCCTTCAAGACCCAGCTCACATCCCACTTTCTGCAAAAGGCCTTTCCTCATTCTGCTTAGTCTTTTCTCCTTCTCCCATTTGTTCTGTGTACATTGTGTACGTACATAGTTATTGGCATATTGTATCTCCCATCAGAATATGACATCCTTGCACTAGAACTGTGCGTTTGCCCTTTTTTGTATAGCTTAGCACAGTGCTTGATACATAAGAGCTTAATCAATGCTTGTTCACTGACTGATTAACTGGGACTAAAAGCTAGGGCGGAGGAGTATTCCATCATCCTGCCAACCCAGGTTTATGCAGGTAACAAAAAGAGGGAGGGATAAAACAAACTCAGTGAATAAAAGGATCTTGACAAATAAGAGTATCAGGTTAAATATAAGTAAAATTTAGTAGAGATAAATGTAAAGTTTACCTATATGCTAACTTCACAAGGAGAATATAGGGGAGTATGGTTACATAGCAGTGTTTCTGTAAGAGATTTGGGGATTTTAATGAAAAACCCAATACAGTCTTAAATTGTGTTATAAGAGGCATGTCTTCTAAGAATAAGGAGATAATTCACCAGTAACCTAGGGGACATCCAATCTTCCAGTTGCTGAATGGATTTAAGAGGTGTAATAAACTTTGAAAACCTATTGGAATTCATTCATCCACCTTCTTTTTTTTTTTAAACCCTGTACAAATTAGATATTATTGGTAGAATCAGAACCAGGTTAAAATCTGTGCCGGCTTGGGGTTTGTATGATATAAACTGTGGTTTCTTGTACATCCCAGCTGCCGCTTGGTTTGTATAACTGAAATTCTTGTACTTTTAAAATCGACTTTGAAGATTTGAGAACACCATGCATCCAGTATACAACCAAATTAATCTTTCTGTGATTGGATTACTCTGGGGGATAAGCCAGTTATGTCTTCCAACTTAATTGCTGTCATGCCCAAGGGATCCTGGGACCATAGGATTAATAAGGGGTAGGGGAATAGTTAGGGAGCTGGCAGCTTTTACCAGATGGTAAGTAGAGAGCTATGGGAGGCAGGTCCTGGATGATAGCCAGGCTGTGCTACCTGTGGAGCATTTCTGAGTGCAAGTGGGAAATTGTGGCTGGACGGGGTAGGGCTGGGGGTTGGGGTGAGGGTGAGAGCTGTAACAAAGTAAAAGTCAGGCCAGAGGAAAATTGGGTGGTTGAGTCATCAAAAATCTGGGAGTGGGGCAAGGAGGAGGAAGGGGATCTGTAATTGAAGGGGATCTGTAATTGAAGAGGCAAAAAAAAGCATTCTCATATTGCAGCCCTGGGAGAAGAAATAAGGTTCAGCAAAGTTCCTGAAGATATAGGATCTCTTGATAGTCTCGGATGGCCCTTGTCATTCTTAAAGGAATGCCTCTCAGCCAGGCCTTGAGACCCAGCCAGGGCCTAAAAATTTCTGAGGTAACTCCATGTTGAAACTGAAGCTATACAAAAAAGGGGCAAAAACACAGTTCTGGCTGCTGAGGCAGCTAGGTGGAGCGGTGGATAGAGCACTGGCCCTGGGAGGCAGTAGGACCTGAATTCAGATATGGCCTCAGATACTAACTAGTTGTGTGACCCTAGGCAAGTCACTTAACCTCAATTGTTCCTCATTCCCCCCAAAAGAAAAAAGAAACTGAAGTGTGTGGATGGCTGTTGACTGTGACCCCAAATTGCCATATTTCTCCCAGATTTTGTTTTTTCACATAGATGTACTTCATTGCAATGGTGTTGCAATCCTGACCCCTCGTTCGCAACCCTGAATGGCTTATAAAATTTCCTACAAGTGGCTTCAAGTATTGGAAAAAAAAAAACTAAACTATTTCCCATTTCAGTTAGGAAGACCTGTGCTGAGGAAATATCCTCTGACAACACCAACAGGCATTTTTTTCTTCAACTTAGACACCTAAATACCAAGATTTAGATGTGATTTACTTAGGGTCACACAGCCAGTGTGTGGAAGAGATGATATTTCCTCAGCACAGGACTTGCAATGTTAATGAAATCATGAATCCAGTCTCTTTCCTTACTTTGTGCCCGGCACTATACTAGTTTTGGGGGATACAAAGACATAAAAAACATTTCCTCCCCTTAAAGAATTTACAGTCTATATTCCCAAACAGATATTCTGCCTTTGTTGTTGTTGGGTAGTTTTTCAGTCATATTGGACTCTTTGTGGACAGAAATACTGGAGTGGTTTGCCATTTACTTCTCCAGTTCATTTTACAACGAGGAAAAGGAGGCCAACAGAGTTAAGGGACTTGCCCAGGGTCACACGGCTAGTAAGTGTCTGAGGCCAAATTTGAACTCAGGTCCTTTTGACTCCAGGGCCAGCACTCTATCCACAGTGCTACCTAGCTGCTCTAAATATCTGCCTACTAAAATTTATTTTTAATATTTTTCCTCCTTTATTTTCCCCCCTATACCTATTAGAACTCTGTACAGGAACTTATTATTGTGTCTATCTGGCAACGTTTTCAAGAAATATTTTGTAATAATTAAAGAAGAAATCATGAAATTTTTAACTGAAATGAAAGAGGTGTTAATAAATGATTGTTTCTTCCTTCTCCTCTTTCTTGGTTTTTGTGACACTGTTCTCTCCTTGTTCTTGTCTTACCTGCTATCCAACTGGGAAGATATGGGATGTTAGTTAGTGGGGATGAATGGAGCAAACAAGGATTTTTTGAAGGTAGGGGAGACATGGGTATGTTTGTAGGTAGTTGGGAAGCAGCTATTAGACAGGGAGATTGGAGTAAGGGATGAAAAGCAGGGGGCAATCCCTTGGAGATGGAATGGAATGGGATCACTTGTGAATATGTAGGGGGGTTTTCTTGGGGTATGGAATAAGGTCACCTCTTCATGTGAGACGGGAGGCTGTGAAGGAGGAAATGGTGGTAGAAGGCATCTGAATGATGTGAAATGAGAAAAGAAAAGGTGAGCTGGAAGTGAATGGCTTTGATTTTTTTCAGTGAAATGCAAATTTCAGCATAAGGATATTGAAGTACCTCTAGATCACAAAAAGTACTACTACTTTCCATGGTGAGATTTGTATTTGCTTTGGCAAAAGTCTCTTGTTTATCATTTCAGTTTATCATTTAAAAAGAAAAAAGGCCAACCAAGGTCACTGTTGTTTGTATGAAGATTATTCCATTGAAACAAAAATCTCAACCCTACCTTTGATGTAACCAGAGCTCAGTTGCTTTTTTTCAGTTAGACACTAAGTTGGAAGAGTTTCAGTTCACACTGTGCATAAAAACACATCCATTTCAGCGTTAGATCTTTTTTATGTCTGTTGAGAACGATTATGCAAATTCTGCTATGGAAAATGTCATTTGAAATCTTGATGGCAGTTGAACAGCAATGTATCACTCTAGAGGTGAGTTCTATGTCCGTATAATTCTTGCATTGATTTCTAAATTTCATTAAGAATTTTGGACTCTCTTTAAAGGACAGATGTTGCCTTGAAACTTTGTTGTTGGCAGTTGGCCCGTGGATTGTAATATAGTTTTGCTGAATGGTGTATTTGAAGAGAAATTCGTTAGAGGTGCTAATTGATATTAACAGCTAACTTCCTGTGAAAAAAACAATTAAAGCACATTTAATGGTTATATCTTTTTTTTTTTGGCAGTAGACTAAAACTAAAAATTGTACACCCAGAAAAATAAATTTCCTTTGATAATATGTGGCATGCATTGCAGATGGGTCTCATTTTACCTTGAAATACCAAGGATTCATTTAAACAAACAGACCAGAAAAACGAGTGTACCAGAGGAGGCTATCTGTTTCCTGAGAGCTAAGAACACTGAACCTTTTGCATTGAATTAAGCAAAAGGTACATTTTACCTGCTCAGTAAGACCCTTCTGTGTTTGGTTAAGAACTACCTGTCTTCTGTTTGCTGTTAACCTGAGCAGATATATAAGGTTTAAAGTCTCTGATATAGCTGTCTTCCAGGATCAAATGTTAGTCCAGGGGTGGGGAACCTGCCACCTCAAGGCACACAAATCCTTGTTCTGTGAAGTTTGGATTCAGCCAAAGGACTGTATTTGAGGACCTAGAGGGCCACATGTGGCCTCAAGGCTGCAGGTTCCCCACCCCTGTAGTTAGTCACTATTTCTCTCCTCGCCTGATGGAAACCTTATATTTTCCATTTAATTTACCTCCTGTTTTACCTGCTGTTGTGAAAATTGTCTGCGAGCAGTATTTATCCTAAGTTGTATAAAAACACTTTTAAATTTGGAAAGGCAAAATAAAGGAGTGGGTTTCATTGTATATGCAGAGGCAACAAGAAACGTTATTTTGTGGGACAGTTGTCTTGCTTTACAGTGAGCATAATTAGCATAAGCAAAAACACCACTAGGAAAATAATTGCAGTTTACATTCCAACATCTGTTTCAGAGTATGCAGTAGGGAAATTCCTTGAGCTTGAGAAGCTTTTCCAAATCTTGATACTTAAATGCAAAAGGAGAATACAGGGGAAGATAGAGAAAAATAAATTGGGAAGCAGAGTCTTGTAGATTACACAGAAAGAAATCCCATACCTTTATATGTCATGAGTACTTTTTAAAAACATTTTTATTTCGTTAAATATGTCCCAATTATACGTAAAAATTTTTTAACATTCACTTTTTAAAAATTTTGGTTTCCTCTCTCCCTCTTTACCTCACCCCACCCAATGAGAAGGAAAGCAATATAGTATTGATTATACATGTGAAATCATGCAAAACATTTCCATATTAGCTCATGAATATTTTGTTAAAGAAGTAAAAGAAGGGACTGGACATAGTAAGCACCTCAGATCATAAGATACAAACATAATCATCTTAACAGACTGTGAGTGACTGATAATTGATGTGGGAACCATTTCCCTATCAGATGTCTATATGTAGTAATACCTGCTTATCATAGATTAAAGTTTAAAATAAACACATAATAAGTAAGAAGAAAGGGTAAAAATGAGAAGATATTTTGTGTTTTCATCTGGCCTATTGATTGGGAAAAAAAACAACATGAAATTGATAAAGGTAAAAATGCAGCCTCTGACTACATACCGCAAATACTCGGGGAAAATAAAAATGGTACTTATGTAGAGGAAGTATGGAAGATCAGTTGGACCCAGACAAAGCAAAAGCAAAAACAAATCTGATGTAAATTTGGAATTGTGTGGAACTGAAGTATTGATTTTCAAGATATCTGAAAGAGAGGAAGATACTAAACAATCAGAAAAAAAGTCATGAATGAAAATATTTTTATAAGCATTTGGTTTTAGAATTTTTACCCAAAAATGGCGACCAAGAAGACAAAGGGAACTTCTAGTCAAATGTATGCTTTTTCATTTTTACAAAATCTTTATATGAATTATCTGTATAATTATCAAATATGCCTTTGATGAAAAATTTGAGAAGTGAGCTGCAAGTAGCTTTTTACAAATGATACTCGAATGAAAACCAAATCTTTATAGGCTAGACAACAGACCAAAAAGTTTAGAAAATACACTGTTCCCACTTTACTTATTGTTCATCTAAAAATAAGTATTTGATTTACCAGAGGCAGCTGGATGAACAGTGGATAGAACACTGGGCCTGGAGTCTGGAAGACTTGAGTTCAAATATAGTCCCAGATATTTACTAGCTGTGTGACTCTAGGGCAAGGCATCAAAGCTCTGTATGTTTCAGTTTCTTCATCTGTAAAATGGGGATAATAACATTACCTATTTCCTAGGGTTCATGTGAGGATAAAATGGGATAATATTTGTAAATGCAAACTCTAAAGTGCTATATGTAGATGTTGGTGGGAGGAGGAGCTACCCTAAAGGATCTTCATAAAATCACTGGAACATACAGTGTTAGAATCAGAGTTAAACATGTTTTTACCACAGGAGAAGGAGGACCTTTGGGGACTTGAGCATACAGTAAGTAAGTATTTGAGTGTCTGCTGCATGTCACATATTGGGATAAAACAACATTATGCTATAATCAGCCTTTAAATGATAAATTGAGGCATAGAGGATGGGGTAGACCCAAGCATACTTATTAACAATTAATATTAAGTCAAGTACAATATTGAACTGAAACAGTGGTCCTGGAGAACCTTCCTGTTTTAAAATAGAGAAATAGCAACCACTGAAGCAGTAAGTATAGCTGCTGCAAAAGTGAGATACCTATTAATTTTTCCTGGAAAGTCAGTGCCATTCCATTGTCTTCAAGGCCCCTGAATATTTCTGATTCTTCCCAGGGAGTGGCAGCACACACGACAGTATATTCCCACCCTCCCTGCATTTTCTTTTTAGGCATAGAGATGGTTACTGCTTTTGATCTTTTGTTGAGCTTTCAAAACTCTTCTATGTCTGGCCTTTTCCTATCTTTCTAGTCTTCCCTCCCCATATTGCCCCTGGTAGCTGTTCCTCAAACAAGACTCTGTCTCTGGGTTTTGTCTTGACCCTGGCTGTTCACCAAGTTTGGCATGTTTTCCTTTCTCACCTCCACCTTGGAGCATCCCTGGCTTCCTTCAAGACTTTGTTCAAATATCATCCCCTCCACCGCCTTTTGTGGTTTGTTCTCTCCCTGCCGCCTACCAGCCTCTTGAGTGTTTCCCTTTAAGTGTATTGTCCATTTACTCCATGCATATCTGTAATATGTAATACCATATGTAAAGTAGATTGGAGATTGGCTCATGCAGTAGCTTAAACCCTGGTGAACAGGGATCAGAGTATCCTACATTGTGGGGATATATTTAGATAGATACAGCTGGGTGGTCCAGGACTTAAGAGTCAGGAGAACCTGAATTAAAATCCTACCTCAGAGAGTTATTAGCTATGTGACTCTGGTTAAGTCGCTTAATATCTCTGTGCCTCAATTTCCTCAGTTGTAAAATGAAGATAATAATGGCACCTACCTCACAGGGTTGTTCTGAGTCTTAAATAAGTTAACATGTTAAGCATTTTGCAAACCTTAAAATGCGGCTGTAGATATGACCTGGGATTTGACCTCTTCCTTCTCCAAGGGAATTTTGATTTCCACCATTGTAGAAAGTAAGAGGAGACCTTGGCTGAACCATCAGTAGTCCAGGGGGCGGAGCAGGAAGGATCCAAAGAGCAGTGACTGGGTTTACCACTTTAATGCTCCTGTCTCCAAGAGGGTTGGTGGGCTTAGAATTAGATCAATTTACTCTTTGTCAAATATCAGTAGTCTAGTAATGTGATATTCTTTAGAAGGAGGGTAGTAGTTTACTCAGCCAACTCAGTTACCGCCCACCAAATGCCATACAAAAACCAACTGGGGACATCATATAGATTTGAGTAGATGATAAAATGCACAGCAGTAAGTGAAATGAGCTCTTTTTTACTCATGAATAAGGTAAAATCTCAACTTGAGTAAGTAGTGAATGATCTACAGGGTGAAGTCTTCTCCTTGCAGATTCTGGGGATGCAGGTGCTGGAAATCAAGCAAAATGTTGGGAGTCGGTCCCCTGTGTCTGTCCCTTTGGGACGTCTCACATCTGCCATTCATCTGTCATTCAGAAGTTCTCACCTTGACTCTTGCCAATATCTCTAGAACTCAGCTTTTCTCTCTCCTCAGAGGTCTCTCACATCAAGGGCTCAGAGGTCTCTCAGAGTCATTGTGCAGAGTCCCAGGGCCCTTCAGGATGCTGCTCCAAGCCAACTTTGGACAGGGGTGAGATATACATATACATATATACATGTTTATATATGTATATACATATCTGTATGTATCTGTCTGTCTACCTGTCTGTCTCTGTCTTTCTCTACCTATTTACTTATCATCTATTATCTGGCTGCCTATATGCCTGTCTTTCTATTTATCTCTCATCTATCTATCTATCTATCTATCTATCTATCTATCTATCTATCTGTCTGTCTGTCTGTCTGTCTGTCTGTCTGTCTGTCTGTCTGTCTATCTATCTATCTATCTATCTATCTATCTATCTATCTATCTATCTATCTATTATGTGTCTGTCTGCCTATTTAACATTTATCTGACCATCATCTGTCTTTTTAATCCATCTACCTACCTATTTATCATCTGTCTTTCTACCTATGTATCTTTTTTGTATCATTTCTCTGTCTTTGCCTCTTTCTGTCTGTCTCATCTACTAACCTATTATTTATCTATCTCTCCAGCTATCATCTCTCTCCATCCATCTCTCTCTCTCCCTCTCTGTCTGTCAGTCTATCTCCTCCACTCCCAGTAGAATTTGAGTAAACTTTTCTTTTCCCTTCCTTCATATCCCTAGTGCTTAGCACAGTTCCTGGAACATAGTAAGTGTTTAATAAATGCTTGTTGATTGATCAACAATTGGATATCACTAAAGGTATCATCAGATTTCGTGATTCTTCCCACACTTCTGTCCTTGAAATGTTGTAGTACTTGGGAGGTCCCCATGCTTCTTAGCAGTAATGGAGCATATTTCATAGAAGAGAGTGTAATTAAAAAGAGGGAAATGAATTGAGCTGATTGGGGCTCATTCCCTGTAGTGCTGCTTTTCTCATCTGGCGGCCCTCAGAGTGTTTGGCCCTGAAGGATTCGGGACTGTGCTCATAATATTTAACAATTGGTTTCTGGAGTGAGGTGGGGGCATTGTATTCATGACACACTGTTAAGTTTAATATGCATTATTAACATTTTCTCTATCACTTTATGAAGTCTGGACAATAAGCAAAATAATAAATCATGCCTCCATTTGTAGTGTTTGCAGATTTCTGAGATGTAAATACACTGAAAATTTAACAATGGATTCTGTTCCGGAGTTGGTTCCACTATACACCTGGGTGTGACAGAAGTGAAGAGAGGCAGAGCTAGTTTAGTCTTGGTCAGACCTCAGTCTCCTGGCAGCCCCATGAGAGATGATCATTCAGAGACATTGCAGAGGAATTTGGTTGGCTTTGGGGCATAACTCACTGGCTTTACAGCTCTGTAAATCAGTACCTTTTGTCACGCAGAAACTGTCATGTAAATAGCACTAAAATTTTATGTCTTTCAGGCATAGGTGACTGACAGTGAACTGTAAAAGGTGACACATTATCTGGAATGTCATGATTCCCCAGGATAATACAGCCAATCTTTCCTGCTTGGACAGTCTGTTGGTCAATAGTCTGTCCTCTGTGGGACTAATATTATTCTTCACCAGTCTATATCAGACTGGTTTCTACCACACTAAGCTACTTGCTTATCGAAAAACTGAAGGGTTAGAAGAGTCTTATGTGTAGGTCTGAAGAGCCATTCTCTTTTACTAATTTCCCATTCTGTGTTCCTTTTCAGCATCTCTGGGTTTCCATTTTTTTTCATCTGGAAAATGAGGTTTAACTAGATGGTCTCTCAAGGTCCCTTCCAGCTCTAACTCTATGATCCAGGATGATGGATGTAGAAATAAATAATTATTTTCTCTTGGCCCCAGCTCTTCGCCTGATTCATTTTTTCCCTTACAGTAGTTGTTACCTCCTCAGATTAAAATACCACACATCCCAGCCCATATTCCTCCCTTCCTACACCCCCCTAGGTCCAAGCAGTGCTAAATCCTGAATGATGTTTTTTTTTCTTTTCCCTCATTCTTGTGCACTCATCACAGCTGTCCATTTATGAGCCAGCTGTTGTGCTGGTTTGCAGCTGCAGGGTGTGGAGAGTGAATGCTAAGCCCTCTTCTGAGTGCAGAATTCGAGCTGCTCCCTTTAGAGGCTATCCCATTGACCTTTCACATCAGTAATCCATGCAGCTGGGGAGCACAGTATAACATAAAACTAAACTGAGTTCAATGGTGTGTTTATTAGGATTTTTTTAAGTAGAAGGATGTGCACCTCTGGATCTTTAAAATCTTTCACAAACATTCCCCCAAATGCAGTCTAGCTAATGTTAGCAGAAGTAAAGTCCAAATGGGCTTTACACTCTTTTTCACAGCATTTTTTTTTCTCCCTTCCTTCCCCACCCCAAAGTGTGAATATCAATAAGTTTGTTTTATGCTGCATTACTTTGGAAAGTTTATGAGAATTTAAAGATTTTATTGCTCAATTTTTTTTTCTTTGTGACTGTGTAAATGTGTATTTAAACAGAAATCTCTTGTGTTATTGTTGTTTAGTTGTTTCAATTGTGTTCAACTCTCTGTGATCCATTGGGAGTTTTCTTGGCAAAGATACTGGAGAGGTTTTGTCATTTCCTTCCCTAGCTCGTTGTACAGATGAGGAAATTGAAGCAAACAAGGTTAAGTGACTTACTCAGGGTCACACAGCTAGGAAGTACCCAAGGCCAGATTTTAACTCAGGTCTTCCTGACTCCAGGCCTGGCAGCCAATCCACCGTGCTACCTTGTTGCCCTTCCCGTATTGCCTAGTTAAATATTATTTTGCTGTGCTTTCTAAAGCAAAGTGGAGGGGGCAGCTAGGTGGCGCAGGCAATAGAGCTCCGGCCTTGAAGTCAGGGGGACCTCAGTTCAAATCCAGCCTCAGACCAAACACTTGACACTGGCTGTGTAACCCTGGGCAAGTCACTTACCCCCAACTGCCTTAAAAACAAAATGTAAAGCATAGTGGAAAGATAAGATCCAAATTGTGGATAAAATAACATAAACTATTTGATAGATTCTCAAAAAGAAGAAGGGAAAGGCCAACATTTAGTAAAGGAACTCAGTGATATAGACTAATAGAAATTATGGAATATATTAAAATCAAAAGACCCTATTTTTTTTTTTTGCTTTCAAAAACATTAACTTTAATTGCTATTCATGTTCCTAGGCAGTGCAGCTACTTTGTTTACTAGAATATGGCAGCATTAAAGAATATTTAGCTGGTTGTCAAGAGACCTTTGCTCTAGGCCTGGCTCTCTTCTGTGACTTAGGAGGAGTCATTTAACCTTTGCTGGCCTTAATTTTTGCTCATTTCCAAAATGAACAAATGGAATAAGATTATTTCAAAGGATCCTTCTATCTGTGACCCAATCTAATAACCCATCTATCTATCTAAAATTCTATCTATGACTCTTAATGTAACCACCTTGAGGGCAGGGGCCTGTCTCTTCTTTATATTTTTATGCCCAAGATATTAGCATAATTCTTGGTTCTTTGATTATAGTTAATAACCTTTGGCATAAAAGTACTGTATTTTTTCAGATACTGAATTAAAGAAGTTCACTTAATAAGATTTTTTGTTCTTGGAACAACTTGCTAAGGAACAGAAATAGAATGAGTTTAGTGGAGAGAGCTAGGAAGGAAGGATGGGTGGAAGAATGGATTTATTAAATGCCCAGTTTAGGCCAGGCACTATGCTAAGTGCTTTAAAAATATTCTCTCATTTAATCCTCATGGCAGCTGTGTAAATAGATGCTTTTATTATCCCCATTTTACAGAGGAAATTGAGGTAGACAGGAGTTAAATGACTTACGAGTTACACAGCTGGTAAATGTCTGAAGCTGAAATTGAACTCAAGTGTTTCTGACCCCAGGCCCAGCACTTGATCCACTGTACCACGTAGCTGTCAAAATGCAGAGAGGGAGAACCTAGTCTCCTTACTTACCTGTATGACTTTGTGCGAGTCGCTTAACTCTGGACCTTTTCCTTCATTTGTAAAATGAATTGACTGGGCTAAATAAATTCTGAGGACTCTTCTAGCTCTAAATCTGTAATCGTGTGAATTGAGATTTTTGGGTTGTCAGTAATACATTTTTTGAGGTATTCTTTGCCCAGTGCTATACCCAGTACTGTGAGGGATTCAAAAGAACAGGACTTCTTCCCAGCTCCCCTCGGAGAGCTTGTAGTGTATCTGGGAAAACAGAACTAGTAGAAATGAAATAAAATTAGATTAAATGTAAAATGTGTAGAACTAAATTTTCCCAAAAGGGAAGAGAGAGACCTAAGTGTGAGCTAGATTAGTCAGAACATTATGGACAAGTCTGGGACTTGAACTTGGCCTTGGAAGATAGAGTTTGGTTAAATGGAGGGAGCAGGAAAGACATTCTTGGTAAGGAGGGGATAGCATAGAGGTGAGAATGAGCGTGGAATTTGTGTTGACCGCTAGTAGACTGCACAATTAGAACAGAAATTACATGTCAGCACTGTGAAATAAGTTTGTAACCAATATTGTAGTAAAGTGGGAGTAAGATTATGGCAAACCTTAAAAGCTAAGTAGAGGAATTTTGACTTGACAGATTTATATTGGGCAGAGGAATAAATAACCCATCTCTGTCCCTTCCTCAATACTCAAGATCATATCACTCATTAAAGCATCCTGATGACTACTTGCCTGAACTATTGAAATGACCTCTTTATTGGTCTCATTACAGTGTCTTGTCTCTCTGTTCCTTCAAATTGTGGCCAAAATAATCTTCCTAAGACCTATGTGACCCATGTCCCACCCCTGGCTCTCTCTTGCATATGGGACAAAATACAGACTCTGTACTCTGACATTTATGGTCCTCTACAGGTGGTCACCCCAGCCTGTCTTTGCAATCTTATTTCACGTTGAGCCCTTTTGTGAACTTTCCATTCTATCCACACTGGCTACTAACTGTTCTCTATACCTAACATGCCTTCTTTGACTTCCTTTGCATTTGTGCAGGCTATCTCCTATGGATAGAGAGCATGTCATCACCATCTGTGTTTTGTGACTTCCTATTTTCCTTCCAGGCTTAGCCGAGGTGTGACACTGCTTCTGTGAAGCCAACCCTGATTCCCCGCAATGTCAGTGTTCTCTTCTTTATCATATGTTACTAGAATACTTGGTTTGATCCTTTGTACCTCCATCACTCCCGGTTTTCTGAAATTTAATTATCTGGATACAGATGTTGTATTGCCCTGCATTAGGTAAGCTCCTCAAGATTGTGATTTATATTTAACCATAGGTTCTAATAATTGAATTGAATTGGTGATGGGGAGAGAGCCCTGTAAATTGTGACAGAAATGCTATAGAAGGAAAAGGAGTCAGTTTGGATATTTGGGCTGGGGTGGGGTGTAGGAGACTTGAAAGCGTGAGGAATCTGCGGTCTTGAGGCCACATGTGGTACTAAGCTTTTTAGTCTAGAGGTGTGATGGTGAGACAGCCACGTGAGAATCTCAGGTGATCAATCAAACAGTGTCCTTTGGTCCAGTTGTCTGTTATAACATTTGGCTAAAAAGAGAATAGGATAAAGTCTAGAAGACTTTTAAGTAGTCAGACTGAAAGAACAGAAGAAAGGAGCCTGGATAATTTGAGATTTTTTATTTAATTTACTTCAAACTATGTAAAGGCGGTACAGGAAAACAATTCCTGATTTAGGGTGTTGGACTTGGAATTGTTTAGATCTAGCCTCGTGTGTGTGTGGTGTGTGTGTGTGTGTGTGTGTGTGTGTGTGTATGTGTGTGTGTGTGTGTGTGTATGCATGCATATATGTGTGTGTGTGTGTGTGTGTGTGTGTGTGTGTGTGTGTGTGTTGTTTATTTATTTATTTACTTACTTATTGTATGGCCCACAGAGGCAAGTCATTTAGCTTTTCTGAGCTCTAGTTTCTTCATCTGTAGGATGGGTATTATAGTAATGAATAGTACCTACCTCACAGGAGTTTTTGAAAATCTTAAAGTGTTATATTAACGGAGTAGTTCCTTTCTCTCCTCTCTTTCTCTCTGTCTTCCCCTTCTCCTCCTCCCTCCTTTTCTCCCTCCTTCCCTTCTCCCTTTTCTCCTCTCTGTCCCTCCTGTTTTTCTAGTATCTGTTGTAAGGACAACTACAATGAAAGATAGGAGTCCTGAGTTCAGTTTCTGACTTCATAAATGTCATTTAACTCTATAACATTTGTCTCAGTTTATTTGGAAATTGCTTGCAGTAACTTTTACTCTACAGCCAGGCTTCATGTGACCGAATCAAAATGTATGAGAGCCTTTGGAAGAAAATAAGAACCTGTATTCAAATAAAAGGTAGTACTTTAAAATGTGGTATTCAATTTATAGTTACCTGTTTAATAAAGAGGAGGCACTATGGATCGAGAGAAAGTCTCCAAGTCTGGGAAACCTGGGTTCGAGTCTCAACTCTGTGATTACACCAGTACTGTTTTCCTGAGAAAGCCACTTAATCTCTAATTACCCCCTGGCAACTCTTTAAGACTTTAGGCAGTTTCAGATCTTCATTGATAGCCAAAGTTTCCTCACTGGAAGTTCCCTATAGTGATGAAATCTTAGTTCTAGACTCAACCCCCACCAAAACCATCTGTAACTTCTGTTTTAGAACTTCTGACAATTTATATGTGAGATTTTGCATAAAATTGCATTGCTGCTTATAAACTGGTGCCATTCATCTCTAAACTGGTGTGCTTTGTCTTAAAAGCCAGATGTGTTAGTCTACCTCTCCAAAAAAAATCAATTACTTATTTTTCTATAGTTCATCAGAGAATGTTTTATTTTATGGCTAGCTTAGAGACGTTTGAGGAGAGAACAATCAGTCCCAATCATTAAATCCTCCCCTACCCCTCCCTTTTTTTTACTTCATAACAATGTAGAATACTAGAATAAAAAAGGATATATATGCATACATATATGAGATATATATTCTAGTACATATGTGGATATATGTAGGTATATATGTGTGTATATACATACTATACACACACACACATATATATGGAGAGAGAGATCGGGGTAGGTATATCTTGGACATTATTTTCAAATAATTTAAAAAATGTTTTTAGTTAGTGGAGAATTATCTACTCTTTTTCTTTTTACCAAACTCAACATGATACAGTTTTAGGTAGGGTGCTGGCTTCTCTTAATATGCCAACTAGGTGATCATTACATGGTGATGTGCATGGTATTCAAGGTCCTCTGCTGTTTCCTTATCTCATATTGATCTGCCATCCATATTCTGTGGTTTAACCAAAGCTGGATGACATTTATTCCCCCAAGCATACCCTATGTACTTTCTTACCTTCCTGTCTTGGCTCAGACCCCCATTTGAATGTGAGCTTCTTGAGGTCAGGGGCTGTCTTTTGCCTCTTTTTGTATATTCAGCTCTTAGCACAGTGCCTGGCACATACTAGTCACTTAATAAACATCCATTGACTGACTGACTGACAGAATGTCCTTTTTACTGGCCTATTAGATGGTTAACTGTCCTTCAATATTGAACTCAGATGACTCCTGCATGAATCCTTCCCTCAGTTTCTTTGTCAGCCACTGTCCTCCCCACTTAGACTTTGTACAACATGCAGTAAATCTCCAGAATACTTGTTTAGTATTTTGTAGTAGTTAGTGATGTTTTATCAGTTTCCTAGACTGTACGTTTCCTAGGTCTTGTTTAAATGTTATCTTTCCTCTAGTACCTGCCACAAGGCACAGTGCAGTCATTTAATAAAATGCTTGAATGAATGAATCTGCAAAATTCATTTTATCCAAATCCCTGTGTGTTCTGTATACTTAAATTTTATATCTAAGGTGATTATACAACATTGAAAGAAGATGGTATAATTATGTAATTATGAACACAATATAAGCTGATGAGCAAAAGACTTCTAAATGTTATTTATTCTTTCTATAACTTCTGTTGTTCATCTTGACTTGAACTTTTATTAAAACATGCATGTACACATCTGTGTTCTGGGCCACTGTACCTTATTCCCTTTTGTGTTAGAATATCTAAGTGCTAATTTTTATTTTTTTATTTTTTTTATTTAAAGAGCTGGCTGGATCCTTCAAAGGAGATCAAGAAACAAGTTCGAAGTAAGTATTTAAACATATGTCTATGGCAGAATTATGAACTCAATCCTCATATGTATCTTACAGCTTACAACAAAATATATAAGAATCTAAGTGAGAATAATTAATCAAGCTATAAATCCTGTCATGCGCCTTGCTGCAGTGATCGAGTAATCTTTTTCATTCAGCGTTTATACAGTTTGAGAGATTTAAAATGCAAATTGCTATATGTTTTCTTACTGTAACTCTTGGTCTCTTTAAAGATGTACATTCATGTTTAGCAATTAAATATGAATACCTTGGGGAACTCAACTTGTCTCTAAAATGGCAGAAGGTGTAAAGTTGTCTGGTGTGATTTCAGCAAAAGGAGGACATATTGCATATTGAAAGTGTTTAAAAAACAGTTGTACTGGGATGTAAATTCTAGGGTTGGAATTATCAAGATTCCGAAGCCAACCTGGCCAGTATTTTTGGTCTGCCTCGTGTTATGATCCTTCATTTGCTGGGTGCCCGATGCCCTCCTTGGTATGACTCTGAGTCTGCACCAAACCCCGCAAATGCCCTCTTCCCTTTCTTCACTGATTTTTGCATTTGTGAGGACCACAGAGTGCTTGTGTCTAGAGCCAATGCTGATTCTCTCTTCCCTTCCTGTGTCTACTCAGGGCTTACTTTATCTGCTTGGCTCGAGGATTGCTGACTGAGAAGACCTGCCCTTTGCAGGGACCCTTATCAGGGTGGTGAGGCTGTTATTGGGGGATGAATTCCCGGTTCTTTTGCAAGATCCAGGAAGGATAGAATCAGAGCTGATGAGGAGCTGTGAGGTGCTGCTGTTCTGGGGCTGTATACTTGGGAAGGATCCCAGAGAACTCAGGCCTGAGGGTTGGTGGGGCCAGGTGCTGTAAGCCTGCCAGGGGTAACTAAAGACATATGTTTCACAGTGTATCCAACTACAAAATACTCTTCATAGTCCTGCTCTTTCTCTACTTTTCATATTTACTCCATCAAAACACTTGAACCCTACCCTCATTTTTCTTTCCTTCCGCTTTCTCTTAACTTTACAAAATTATATTCTCTTAGTAGTTTTTTCATTCATCTCCCTTCTTGCTCTTTATTTTGATTCTCCTCATTCTTCCCTTTCTCCTGCTTTTCTTCTCCCTTACATTCTTTATCTTGCCTTGTTTCTCATTTTGTCCTTTCTTTTCTCTATATTTTTTCCTTTCCCATTTCCCATATTTTCTTTCTTTAAGGAAGGTTTGACCTGCCCTGTTTCCAACCTGGGTAGATTCGCACCCCACCCCTACTCCTACCCCCAGAGGACTTGGTGGCCCCTGCACAACCAATCTACTTTATCCCCATTACAGCTCAGAATGCCAGCATCTGAGCCTCCCCCAGTAGCAAAGATTCCTAGTGTGCACTATCACCCCAGGACTTTCCTCATTTTTATATTCCCTTCTCTCTTTTTATTCTCATGGCCACTTTCTTGACTTTGGGCATACTGAGTTTGAAATCTGTGTGGGACATGCAATTCTGTATGTCTCAAAGAGAGTAATATGAGACTAGATCTCAGGAGAGAAATTAAGGCTGAATATATATATATCTGGGAATCATCTGCATAGAGATGATAATTGACACTTAGGAGAGTGAGATAGTATTGAGGGAGAAGGTTCAAGATGGAGCCTTTGGGGGGATTCTCACAGTTAATGGGCATAATCTGGATGGTGATAAAGCAAAAGAGATTTAAGAGTGATCAGAGATGTAGGAGGGAGAGGCTAACCATGAGAGATTCGTGTCATGGCAACCTAAAGAGGTGATATTATCCAGAGGATGATGCTTAATGGTGGCAAAGGCTAGAGAGAGGTCAGAAAGGAGGAGGATTAAGAAAAAGCCATTAGATTTGGTAATTAAGATCATTGCTGTCTTGGTGACACAATAGATAGAGCTCTGCACGTAAAGTCAGGACTGCCTGAGTTCAAATGTGGTCTCAGACACTTATCAGCTATGTGACCATAGGCAAGCCACTTAACTTCAGTTTCCTTATCTGTATTATGGAGATGATAATAGTACCTGACTCCCAGGGTGTTGTGAGAATAGAGTGAGATAATATTTGTAAAGTGCTTTGTAAACCTTAGTACTGTATAAATGCTAGCTTTTATTAAAGTAGTTTCAGTGAAATGATGATATCAGAAGGCAGACTACAGAGGGTTTAGATAAAAGGATAGGACATCAGAAAGTGAGTAAATTGCTTTCTCAAGGAGTTTAAGTAAAAATAAAGGAGAGAGAGAAGATAATATCCAGTAAAGATGGTAGAATCAAGTAAGGTGTTTTTTTTTTCTCAGAATCAGGAGACATGAGTATATTTGTAGATGGCAAGGTGGACATTAGTACATTTAAGAGGAGGGGTGTGTGTGTGTGTGTGTGTGTGAGAGAGAGAGAGAGAGAGAGAGAGAGAGAGAGAGAGAGAGAGAGAGATTATATAACACAGATTTGTAGTGGGCAGTGCAGTTGATAAAAGAGTGCTGGGCCTGGAGTCAGGAAGACCTGAGTTCACACTAGCTGTGTGACCCGGGCAAGTTACTTTAACCCTGTTTGCCTCCATTTCCTCATCTGTAAAATGAACTGGAGAAGGAAATGGCAAGCCACTCCATCATGTTTCCCAAGAAAACCCCAAAAGGAGTCACAGAGTTGTACCCGACTAAAAAGCAACCAAACAAGTCAGAACGCTTGTATGGATTTTTCCAGTTTTGTCCAACAACACACGAATAGGAGTAAAGGCCTTGTTCTTTCACCTGTCACGTCTTACCAAAGTCTGGTAACATAAGACTTGACTGGTAATAGGACAAAGGAGCAAGAACTTTGAATACAGGGGATAGTGGGAATTTGACTGATTCACTACATGATTGAGATGGGGCGGGGGGAGGGGGGTTGCGGGCAGTGAGTATACCTGTACAGAATTGTTGATCTGGGAAAGAACCTTGGAAGTCATGGTGTACCTGAAGAACAAAGTTATAAGTAATAGGGAAAAGAAAGAATGATATATGATCAGATAAATGAATTTTAGGGCCAAGGAACAGAGGACATGGGATAATTGTGTGTGATGGCAAGATCAAAGCTATAACCATCTCTGTGTTATTATGTAAAGGAACTGGGAAGTTTGGATGTTTCAGGGAGAACCACTGTGTATGTTGAAGTCCATTAGAATAAGGGCAGTAGTTGGGAAGGAGAGAGAGACTGTGAGCCAGCCAGGAATTCACTGAGGTCAGGTATGAGTTATACTAGATGGCCACTGAGGTCTCTTCCAACTCTGAGATTCTGTGTTTCTTCTGGGTTGGTTTTTTGGCTCTTATTTAGATTATTTTTGTATGTCATACATTTTGGAGTTTTTAGGTTTTCTAAATTTTGGAAGACAAGATTCTTTCTGATTATGAACTGCTTTTTTATGGTCTAGTTGTTATTGAAGTGTTCTGAGAGTTATTTTTAAGACTTTTTGCCCTTCTGGCTTGGCAAGAATAAGGAAAGTAACAAATAGGATTTGACTATTTCAAACAAATTTTGAGCCAGTTCTTTAAGTGATATCCTGAACTGTCAGAATCATGAAACCCAAGGACAAATAGAGTATATATGTATGTTAGCTTTTTGAAATCTTAGGTTAAAAACTGCCCTTTATTCCTTGCCCAGCTTTTGTCATCACTAATGAAAATATTTTTTGTTTAATAGGCAAGTAATAAAGGTGAATATTTAAATTTTTGAGAGGCAGTTAGAATAGTTGGTACTTTGCTTATTTATGTTATTTAAATGTTGATGAATGCATTCTTATATTAGTACATTAATTTACCTGCACACTGTATGCATGTACATGTACAAATACATATTCTGCATTTATGTGTTCATTAAAATAACAGTTCAGGAACATGTGAGATGTCAGCTCAGTAAGGAATGAGAAATTCCTCTTGACTTGGCAATGTATTCTAAAAAAAGTAAATAAATTCCCTGGTCTAAATATGGCTTTATGAACATGTTTATAAGAGATTTAGGCCCATGATTAAATCCTGCAGTCCATCAGACAAAGGGGTATTTAAGTGTCTTGATAACTTTCGTGGAGTCAGCAGAGGATTATGGATTAATTGTCAGTGCGAGAAGACTGGGGTCATGCATTGCTGTTTAATACTTATTTGTACCATGCATGTTGAAAGAAATACTTAGAACACAAGCCAGGTGGACTTTACTGAATTTTTCTGGTTTTGACTATGTAGCGATAGAGAATTTGAGAACCTACAGCCCCTGTGACATTGACATGCTGATTTATTTACTTACCTAAGTCTTCAGGTTTGTCTCCATTGATTTCTTCCTTCATTCTTTTAGTCTAGTAGTCATTGGTTCCCAGATATTCTCTCAGACCCTCTCCTGTGAGCGAATCTGTTCTTGTGGCTTCAATTATCACCTTATTCTGTGTGACTTTATAGTAAATTAAAGGGGTTGGTTTAGGTAACCCTGAAAGATCCTTCTGCCTCTATACTGGGATTCCATATCAGTATTCCAGGTTTTGATCTCTTTTGAGCTCTAGCCCTAATATTTCCAGTTGCCTATTCGATTTTCTTGTACTTGCATTTGCTGTAGTCTTGTCAAACTCCATGTGTCTAAATATGGATGAATCATTTGTGCCATTGTTCACATGTCCCCACATCTCTCCCCTCCATACAAACTGATTCCCCTTTTCTCTCTTCCTTTTGATAACTCACCAAATCTTGTCAGTTTGTCCTTGTAACCACACACATATGTTCATTCCTTTCCATTCTTACTGCTGGTACCCTAATCTAGGTTCTAGTCATTTTGTCTTATTTATTACAAAATTCTTGCAGCTATTTTCTTTGACTCCACAGTTTAGTCTCTTTCAATGCATCTTGTGCAACACTAGTTACATGAAAATGTCACTTTCCCTGTGTAAACATTTTTTAATGATTTCATATAGTTGAAAAAAAAGTTCACTCTAACCTATCATTTGAAACCTTTCACAATCTGATCCCAAG